TTACATGATACTTGATGAGAGGTAGCAGATGTTCACTAAAACAATCGAACTCGAAATTGCCAGTCATCAATGAAATGAATTAAGAATCATAAGGTTTTAGATCCAAATCTCTTATATGTCCAACCATTGGATGACAAAGAATACCTGATACTTGTGTTTAGGGGTGCTCACTGAAAATCGAAAAATTGAACCAAGTCGAGTCAAATTGATATTAATCTTTTAGATTTTGAGTTCGTTATCTAGATGTGTTTGTCTTTATAGAAATTTAATTATTTATCTTTACTTTCTAGTTTGATTGCTAGTTTTTTATTTGATCATCCAAAAATCTATTTATATTCAAAATAACTTGTCTTTGAGTCATTTAATCAAATATCATTATTTAATTCAATTATTAGTAAGACATCATGCTAAATTACAACTCTTTAATTTTTTTTACACACAAAAATAAATTATAATAAGTTTTCGAGATAATTTTAGAGACATTTCTATAGATTTGGTTTCATAAAACTAGCTTTAATTTATTATAGTTTACAATATTATGTTTATCTCCCTTATTTTTATTTCCTTTGGGTCAATTATTTCAACTTGTTTATCATTATTATTAAAACAATGATTTGAAAATTTTGTCCTTTCTAATTTCTTTAAAATTGTTAAATTATTGGACAATACATATAATGTTCTAGAAGAAGCTAACTATATAGTTCCTTCTAATTTTCTTTACAAAAGTAATTAATTTGGTAATGTTATTCTAGAATATAGTCAATAATGTTAAGGATATTTTGTTCAGTTCATCCATTTTGTTTATTTACTAATGAAAAATTGATAAAAAAAAATTTCTTATAATAATTTGGTAATTTATGTTAGGACCGAAAATAATCAGGTGTAACGCGGAAGCTAGCAAAGCAAACCTTGAAAGACCACAAGTAAGAAGACAAACGAGAAATATACAAAGACACAAAGATTTAACGTGGTTCGGTCAATCGACCTACGTCCACATCTATAGTTGGTGTTCAAGATGACGTGGCGCTATCGATTCGTCTTCGTGGTCTTCATCGTAGTCGTTGTCCTGATATTGATGCTTATGAAGAGGCAATTGTTAGTTCCTTCATACGGCCAAAAAAATTGTGCACTAATTCTCATTCAGAATTTGACATGGGAACAAAGTCTAGAATTGAAATTAGTGATGAGACACTCAAAATTCAAGAGATCCAAAACATGTCTTCAATGGATGCAGCACATTTCAATAGTTCTAAGGCATAAAAGGTGAGGGACAAACTCAATATTGGTAAGACATTTTCATACCTTTTTTCCCTCTCTAAATTAAATGTTGTATTGATTATGTGACCTACAAAGTAAATTTTTTCCATTCATGATTGTTATATTGTATATGCATGCCTTAGTAGTGAGATTTTTACCTTAATACTAACATATAATGATACATTCCATCGTTATGGCTAGTCATAGTTGTAGTACCTCATATATAATTAGTCAGGATGGATATGATTTTCATAATTTATTGACTTATTTGTATCATCACAAATATGTTGACGATTTATATTGATTGGTGATTGTTTGCTAAGTGCTTAATGATTGATAGGAAAGATATGTTACAGAAGGTTACACACTTATGAGATATAAATATTTACACATATATTTATAGGGTATTGACACTACAACAAAAACAACTTTTAGCGGTAATAAATATTGACATTTATAAAGAGTGTTGAAGTCTTTACCAGCATTAGTTAAGTGTCATTAGAATCAATATCGCTAAAAGCTTTAGAGACATATACAAAGAGTGTTAATTGCCACTAATGATCATTTTTGATGTAGTGTGATTTGATCATTGTGTACTTGTTGTTTAACGGGTGATGATTTGTGACTTATTTTGTTTGACTATGTGGAATGAATTTATCTATTTGCTATGTGACTATGATTATATATTTGCTATTAATTTTAGTCGACATATGATGTCTATCAATACAATAATGTGTTTGTACTAATATTACTCCGACTTTTTTTTTGAGTGCAGATTGTGATCCAGAGATGTCTACTAAACCCCGCATTTAGCTGAGTTACTTCCATCCATGCTGACGCAAATCTTTTTCATTGTGATGTCTTTCTTTCAGACATTGAAACTATCTATTATTTGTTGTTTTGATAGTCTTAGAAACTGCTAGTTAAATGTTTTAGTATGATAACTTTGGGATTTTTTGGGATGTTTTGTTTAGACTTTTGTTACTGTTTTATTTAATTTAAAGACTTAGAGTTATTTTGTTATGCTTTTATAATTTCTGTCTAGACTTATTAGATATTGCATGAGTTAGAATGTTAAATGTTGATTCTCCTAGAAAGAGGTTGGTGTAGGTGGCAGTCACAACGATTTGAATGTGATTTAACGACTTTTTGATAAGTGCTCTGTAAGAAAATTTAGTAACCCATCAGAGTGGTTGAGTTAGTGGAGCAAGTGGTATCTCATAAGGAAAGTCAAAGATTGATTTTTTTTGTCAACGTCTTTTTAATCGAGTTCATCGAATTGGACTTATGTTGTGCGATTTATATCTACGATCTGATTTGTCAGCAAGTACTAAACTAAATTAACTTAATAAAGTTGAAATTGATAATCTTGAAGATAATTTCTTATAACTTTTGTATATAATTTGTCATTTAAAAATGTGCAAATGTGCTCCAACTTTCATGTGTTGATATGTTTCATTAGACAAATCTACAATTAGTAGAAGGAAGATCGACAAGTAAGAAAAAAATATTTTTCAATTCAAGAAGGCATTAATTTTATGTTAAATGATGAATTCATTTTTCTACTGAAAATGCTATGATAGAAAATAGGGAAAAACTTTGTCTTATTCTAGAAAATATTAAATCACGCGTGAAATTGACTTTTTTGGACAATTAACTTATGTATTCCTAATTTAAAATCATGTGTCATAGCTAATCTATTTCATCTTCACATAAACATTTCCCTTAAAAATGTTGTAGTATATTGACATTATATTTATATCAAAATACAATATTTTTCAAATGTAATTTAAAATATTTCTTTTATAGTTAACAATTTTTATATCCAGCTCTGCTAAAATAAAAAGAGGTACTTTAATTGTATGCTCGAAAAGAATGCAAGTTTTCAAATAATTTCATAATTCAAAGTTATGATTTTTCCTTATTTGGTTATTACAAAAAGTAGAATGGAAGAAAACTTTTTCCTTAAAACTTCCAATAGTGAAATTCTGTTCTTTTATTTTTACCACAAAAAAAAAGAGAAGAAAACTTTACTAATAAAAAATTTGAATTGTTTAACATTTATTGCGTAGTTTTTTTTAAAAGGTATTTTATAAATTTATTGTTTTATTTGGTTTATATTTTGATATTCTGTTGTCACCTTTTTTTTTGTAATTTTAATTTGAATATCCTTTTTTTTCATTGAGAATTTATCAAAAATAAGGATAAAATATATCCATGTACAATAGGAAATAGTTTATATATATATATATATATCATTTGGTTGAAATATGAGGGGCATAATGTATAATATTGAATTCTTACATATTCCTTTCACTAAAATTTAATTTCCCTCCTTTATTTGACTATATGTTTGTCCTTTTATTCAAAGAAGTTTGACTCTTTGTCTTTCTCTCTCCTATTCTACTTTAAATCACTATGTTGTCTCTTTCTTTAATATCCAAAAAGCAAAGGTGTCTCAATAAATTCATCAGAGAGTACATAACAGGCCTTGAATTTAATTAAGAGAGAGAAATTGAAAGAAAATGGCAAAAAGATTTTCTCTTTCTCTCTCATCACTGTTTTTCTATCAAAGACATTTTTTTGGTACTTTTAGGTGCACCAACTGTCCTCCAATCACCCCCTCAAAGAAACTCATAAATAAAAAATATTAAGGAAAATCACTAATTTGAAAGGCAAATAGTGAAAACCATTTAAAAAGTATTAGGATATAAATGAAAATGATTTTGTTTGATAATAATTTTGTATTGAGATTAAATTAGATTAAGATTTGCACATTACAAGCCCATTTTTAATGGTAACGTTCGGAAATGATTTGGAGGGACATTACAAATATTTTCAGCGTTTAGTGTTTCTGTGTAGCGATTCTAAATAATTTTTTGACTTGTTGGGGTTGATAGTTCAATCTTCTGGTTGTTCGTTTGAGTTTTGTGCAAGTTTTCGTGTTTTGGTGCTTCATGGCCAATTTCTATTAGAACTCCTGGAAGATGATGCAATTCTGACGGTTTCGTTAGCTTCGGAACGTCGAGTTTGATCTAGAAGGACCTTTCATGCATATCCTGAGCCCTCTTGTGGAATTTGACTTGAAACAGAGCTTGAGCGTGGGACCACTTTTGTTGAGACGACTTCGGTTGGAAGCTTTGACACAATCCAAACATGATTTTTTCCACTCTCAGAGTCAAATTCAAAGACTTCGAATTAAGAGTGGTGGAATCTCAATTATCTCATCATAATATATGTCGGTAAATAACACTTTCTCCCTACATCTTTACATGTCCACTATACTATTTTGAGATGTCCAAACAATACTTATTTAGTTTGGAAATCAAGAGATAATTTATCAATTTGTGTCTTTTTTACCTTTATTATTAAATATTTTTTATTTTTCAATATTTAAACGACTTATAATTAATATGTACGATAGAGAAAAAATTACCTCTCTAATTATTACTATTTCGTAAAGAATATGACAAGTCAAATATAAACAAGTAAAAATAGACGGAAAGAGTAGTACTAATATGTTTTTTTGATAAAAGAGGTGAGAATGAAAAAACTATGTAGTAGGAAATATTGTATTCCTTGATGTCGATGAATCCACAAGTAAGATGTAGCATTTGATCATAGATTCTTAAATATTTCTAAAAATTAGATTTTGATGAAATTTTTAAAATTTCAAGTTTCGATTTTAAAATTTTCATTTTTTTTTTTTTCATAATGTGAAAAATCCTAGAAGCTCCTTTCCACCAAACATGACTTCTTAAACCCTTTTGGCTTTTGCCAAACCCCTAAAAAATAAAATATATATTTATTCTACTTCTATGAAAGAAAGTTGTCTTCTCCTTACTTTAATTCAAAAGCTGAAAATTTTCTACTACTATTTCATACTTGCTTTTGTCTTTTTCCCTTCTCCTCTCTTCCTCTTTTCCCAAAAACTCACTTCACCACCTCTTCTCTCTTTTCAAATCTAGGGTTTTCATTTTTTTTCTTTTCACTTTTCCTGTTTGATACAGTTTTTTCTTACTTTTTCTCTTAAAATTACTATCTTGGTGGTGTTTTTGTACTATAAATCCTAGGCATTTTTCAAAGTAAAGCTTAAATGTGTGATCTTTAGAAGTTCTGTTGGTTCAAAATTCAATCTTTATGTATTTTCAAGATTTCATTTTTTTTCTAGTTTTTAGCTTTTTAATGAACTTCCTGAAAAATCCATCTTAAACCCTTCTGAGGATTTTAAGAAAATAATAATCTTTTTCATGGTTTGATTAGATTTCTGTTGTTGGGTTTTGTGTTTTTGTTTGTACTTTATGTTCCATTTTGAATTGGTTGATTGAACTTCAAAATTTTTTACCACCTTTTTAGTAAAATAGAAGGATCAAGACATAGTTTTTCTTCTACTTCTGTTGTTGGGTTTTATGTTTTTGATGGTACTTTATGTTCCATTTTGAATTGGTCGATTGAACTACAAAAAGTTTACCACCTTTTTAGTAAATAGAAGGATCAGGACTCAGTTTTTTTCTCTTCTGGAGTTCAAATTTTAGTGAGTAAATGCATGGATATAAGGGAAGGGATGGCACTATCTGGTTCTGCAGCTTACTATCTTAATAGAGGGATTAGTGGTTCTGGTTCTAGTGTAGGTAGTGGGTCTGGGACACCTACAGGGGTACCTACCCCATCTGGTTACAAGTCTCTTACAAATGCTAACATTGCAGTTCAATCCAATATGGGGAGTAGTAGTGGTAATGTGAACTCAGGATACCAAGTTGAGAACTCATCATCCAATTTTGGTCATGGGGTTAACATTAGTATGACTTCCAGTGTTTCACCTGGTAGTGATCCAGTGAAAAAAAAGAGAGGTAGGCCTAGGAAATATGGTCCTGATGGGACCAACATGTCTTTAGCATTGTCCCCTTTGTCTAGTAACCCTCCAAGTGGGTCCATTACCCCCGGGCCAAAGCGTATCAGGGGCCGGCCTCCTGGAAGTGGGTGGAAGCAACAATTGTCTTCTGTTGGTGAGTTATGATGATTTGAACATGAGTGGATTTATTGAATTTCATCAATGTGTAACTTGAATGCTGTTTGTTGTCTCCTACTATCTTGCTTGATAGTGTTTTTAAGTTGTTGGCTAACTAAAACTTAGTGTTTTTCTATCTCTTTGTTATACTCACTATTATGTTGATGCTGCATTTATGAGGCGGTATATGGCATTCATGTTACATTTTTAGCAGGTGACCGGCGTTCTTATTAATGTGCTTCACTAGTTTTGAGTTCTTGGTCCTGTCTAAGTATGCTTAAACAGTGTTGCCTGTCATCCAGAATCAGAGCTAATAGTCTGAATCTTGTTAACATTTAGAATAGAGAAGATAACTTTATGCAAATCAAACTATTTTTCGTGCATATTCACTCTTACTCTTATTTAGTTAGAAATAATTTGTTCTAATGTGGCATAACAGAATGATTTGCTTGGATCTGTTAAACTCGGCATCGCGTTGATGGCTGCATATCACATAATAATGATATTGAACTTCCCCTTCCCGAGATTAGGCCCCATCAACCCCCGGTAGGGAGGATGGAGGTGTTAGGGTAGGTGGGGAAGTTCTCTCTAATATTTCCAATCACGTTGGTTAATTTGTCTCACAATTGGAGTTTGTAACTCACAAGATATCCTATTTGTTTAGTTGTAGTTTCTGAAGAATAAATTACTTGCTGCAGGTGAATGGATGAGCAGTTCGGCTGGACTGGCTTTCACTCCTCATGTTATACACATTGGTGTAGGAGAGGTATTGCTTTCAACACATTTTATATGTATAATCTTTTCCTTTCATTGATAAAAATCGGATAACTTTGTATGTATGATTTTCTTCTTCTTCTTCTTCTTTTTTTGAGAAAGTGCTAAAACCATTGTCTTTTGCATATGACCTAAGTATTTCTTTTATCACATTCCCTCTTTTGGACCTGACTGTATGAAATCTTTCTCACAATAAATCTGTCACATGGATGAAAGGGAATCAAACTGTAATGTTGATATGTGACAAACAAAATTGAAGTAAATGCTCTGTGTTTTTCTTTCCGACTCATTCCATTGGTGGGAACTTAGTCGAGGTGTTGCGAACAAGCAAAGAAGTACTTTTGGTAACTGAAACGGAACATTGTTGGAAAGGTTCTCCCACAATGTTGGCCCAGAGGGAAGAGCTTTTTTAGATTTGGAAAAATGTGATTCGACTGATGTTCCATCTTAAACCATATGGTTAAACACTCTATGTCATCAACTTCTGTAACCTGTCTGTTGTTTTTCTTGATGCAAAATTCACTTAGACGCTCTCCTTAAACTTTGCAGGATATTGCGGAAAAATTGTTGGCATTTGCACAGCAGAGGCCTAGGGCTTTATGTATCTTATCAGCTAATGGTGCAGTTTCAGCTATAACATTACGCCCCCCTGCCAATTCTGGTGCCACTGTTACTTATGAGGTTAGACTTCATTTGATATTTTGTGATTTACTTAGACTTGAAGAACTGATAATTCCATTAAGCATGTTATTGAGAGATCTTAAACTGGGATTTTATTTAAAGTATTCACCCTTGGAGATCCTAATCAAGATTATGGGAAAGTGAGGAACTGATAAACATCAGTATGTGAGATATTTGAAATTTAAAAAATAGTAGTAAATTAAATGTTGCATGTGCCTTGATCAAAACTTGTTGTAACCGTGGAAGATGCTCTGCATATTTACTTCTTAAATGCTGAGATATTGAGACATAGTTTCTCTGTCGACTAGCTTTTATATTATTGCCTCCTTGTTCTCCCTTTTTGGGAGTTAACTGTACTTGGAGCATTGCAAATTCCCCACTCTTAATTGCCCAGTGGGTTTTATTTTAGGGGTAATAAAGAGCAAAAAGGAGGTGGATGGGGCTCTTTGCTTTGTGGGTGTTACTTAGGAGCTTTAAGCTTCTGAAAATTCCTGACTGTTGATATGTGATTAGGAGAGATCGGAGATACACTGCAATTTTAATAGTCATTAGCAGGTGGTTCTCTCAGAGTATCAGGCTAATGATGTCTGGTTGTGATTTGTGACTGACAATTTGCAATTGGTAGAGACATTTTTTTTATAACTGTGGTTTTGGCCAGCTTGTGTGCACCTCAACTAATTCCACAGGATACCTGCCACCTGCCAACTCCCACCAGCAGCAGGTTACTCCTTTGTCCACAGAGAGGCTAGGATAGTTGGGAAGAAATCACCTTGTGTTTTTGTCTCCATTGGGATTGGAATCTGACCTGATGGTTCTCAACAGACTTCATGGTAGAGAAATTTTCGTAAGCTTGTCAAACAAAGCACTAAATTGTTGTGATTGGGGTCCAGGACCTTTCAACTGTTTGAAGAACAATATAGGTTGTGTAACAATTCAATAGAACAAATTCAGGTGATGCTTATAATTATTTTACAATGATTGTGTTTATCAAAGGTAGGAGTAAGGTCTGTGTACATCCTAGCCTCCCTACATCCCACTTGTGGGACCACACTAGGTATTCTTGTTGTCGTCTTGTGTGTATCAGACTTATCTCTTGGAAACTGAAAAAAAAACTTGCTATGTTTTCAATAATCTATGCATAATGATCCGTTGGTATGCCTTAGAAGAACGCAATTAGAATCTGTGCTGCATCAAATTCCACTTAAAATGATAGTATAAGATCCATTATCCATATCGTCCTTTCAAGATTGTTTATTTCTCTTTGTTACAATGGTTAAAATTCTACTTACAGAAACAAGAACTCTGATTTTTAGATTGGACTTTGGAGAGAAACGTTGTTATTTTTTAATGGAGAACTAAAAAAACATGGATATGAATATGAGATATAAACATTTGATGCTGCAAATCTAACAATTTTAGCATCTTCTTCGACATATTAGTCAATATAATAATCATATACCAAGGTCTGATAACTTAATGGAGTATACTTGCATAGTAAATTTGTTACCTTCTGAAAAAAATAAAAAATATAGTACCCATGACTCGAGAACTTTAACCTTCAACAAATTGTTTGGTTTTACTAATTAGCATGCTATATGTTATAGCATTCCCCAATTTAGGGTAACTTACCTCTCCAGTCCTCTCTTTTCATTATAGTAAAAAAGTTTCCACATGTATCATGAGAACTATATGTTTCCTATTCTATGCAGGGCCGTTTCGAGATATTATGTCTGTCTGGTTCTTACTTGGTTGCTGAAACTGGGGGCCCACGCACTCGCACTGGTGGTATAAGTATCTCAGTTTGTAGTCCTGATGGCCATGTAATTGGAGGTGCTATAGGGGGTAGGCTTATAGCAGCCAGCCCTGTTCAGGTATTTGCTTTATGCTTGTTTATCTCTGGCTTGAAGATCAGATATTTGTCATCTGTTTTCTGGTGTAACAAGCAAATGAATAATATTTGCCGCAGGTAGTCGTATGCAGCTTTGTCTATGATCCAAAGGGAAAGAGCAAACCAGAAAGTAGCACTAGAGACGAGCAGGAGTCTGCTGAAAAGTCATCTACACCAGTCAGTGCCACTCTGAATCAAGGTCCTACTTCAGGGTCTGGTCGGGGTGTTTGGCCTCCAACTTCCCGAACAGATGTGAGAAATTCCCAGACCGAGATTGACCTGACGCGTGGATGACACAATTCGCTGCAATGCATACATGAGGAGTTTGTATATATGTGCTATTGTAAATGAAACGCGCCAGGGGATCAAGCTCCACAATTTAACTCTCTGCCCATTAGTAGATGATGGATTATGCTAACTTTGGTAACAAAATTCTCCTTTTTAGGTACTGTTTAGTGGTAAGGTAGAGGATGATATGGTTGTTACAAGTAAAATTATTGCTTCTTTAGAAGTGCTTTTGGTCTCTTTTCTGTTGTAACTTGGAATATTTTTTATTTTTCGGACAAATCAACAGGCCAAACATGAGTTCCCCTTTTGCCTCCATGTTCTGAAGGTAAGTTATTTTCATTCCATTTTGGCTAGCAATATGTTGATGTCTTCCGAACTCTTTCCCCTATCGTAATTGGGGGGGGGGGGGGGGGTGTTTTGGGGGTTTGTTTAGAGCAAACCAGAAAGTAGCACTAGAGACGAGCAGGAGTCTGCTGAAAAGTCATCTACACCAGTCAGTGCCACTCTGAATCAAGGTCCTACTTCAGGGTCTGGTCGGGGTGTTTGGCCTCCAACTTCCCGAACAGATGTGAGAAATTCCCAGACCGAGATTGACCTGACGCGTGGATGACACAATTCGCTGCAATGCATACATGAGGAGTTTGTATATATGTGCTATTGTAAATGAAACGCGCCAGGGGATCAAGCTCCACAATTTAACTCTCTGCCCATTAGTAGATGATGGATTATGCTAACTTTGGTAACAAAATTCTCCTTTTTAGGTACTGTTTAGTGGTAAGGTAGAGGATGATATGGTTGTTACAAGTAAAATTATTGCTTCTTTAGAAGTGCTTTTGGTCTCTTTTCTGTTGTAACTTGGAATATTTTTTATTTTTCGGACAAATCAACAGGCCAAACATGAGTTCCCCTTTTGCCTCCATGTTCTGAAGGTAAGTTATTTTCATTCCATTTTGGCTAGCAATATGTTGATGTCTTCCGAACTCTTTCCCCTATCGTAATTGGGGGGGGGGGGATGATGTTATGGTCGTTTTGCTTCTAGAGATCAGATTTCCGTATACAATTGACACTGAAAGGGATCTATATTTGTTGTTGTTGTGATTACATAATGAAGTAGAAAAGAACATCAGTTCCATTGGGATATGCAGGGTAGTTATTGTACCAAGGGAACTAGTGATGATTTAAGATTGTTTTTTCTTTTACGAAATAGAGTGACAAAGGACTGAATCTCAGTGGATCATGTCAGATTGATAGTGATGCCACTCTTGTCACTTAAAACACTGATGATGTCTAGATACAGTATTCAGACCAGAAGATTTCAAGCCAACCCCAGTTTTTTTTAGGAACATGTAAAACTTTCCACACTGCTTCAGAAGCATCAACAATGTTATTCTGGCAAGATGGAAGGTATACATGTGGAGAATCACACCCTCTACCAGAGTCACATTCATCAACAACCATAGCTTTCACACTCCTCCCATTCGCGTGGATGGTAATGTTCTCAAAACAACATCTCCCTTTACTGTACCACCCCGTGGACAGAACCATCACGGGGACAGAGTTGTGGTAATATATACCACTACATTCTGATGGACCACCACCATCACCCCCTTTGTCAAAGTTGTTGATGGTTAGCATTGCCTTCGTGTGACTGGAAACTGGAGGTGAACATTTGTAAGTAGTGTAAAATTTTCCTTCTTTACAACATTCATCACCAAGGCTACAGAACAAAATGTAAATAGTGGTGGTCATGTAAATGCAAATAATGGAACATAATTGAGAAAAAATTATTAAGAAAACAAAGGGACAATAACAATGACTACAGAACTCTCCTTGGAAATCTTTGGTACGTAAGTAAAAACAAATTATCCTAAAACTATAGTATATAATTTAGACAAATGCTGCGAGAGGTGGGGTTAAGACGAGATGTGTTGAAAGATGGAGATGACACAATCAATGTAGAATGCACTTGTGGAGCTTGTAGTCTCACTAGAAAGTCATTTTCCTTTTTAAGAAACTTGTTTTCCTAGAAAAATGTTTTCAAATTTTTTTGACTAACCGAACATGAAAAAATTGGAAAGCATTTTCTACCGAACACATCCTTTAAGGAAAAAATAATAAATACGGCATATATTAGAACAAGTTACAATAACAGCATACGCAATGTAATCCCACAAATAAAGTTTTTAAAAAATAGATCGTATGCAGACTTTAGCCCTAACTCCTAACTCGATAAAGAGATTATTTTCAAAAGACCATCGTCTCAAATACAACGTATTAAAACCAGTAAAATATTCAAAATGTCACATCCTCAACACAAACAACAGAGTTGCAACTTATTTTACTCATAGAATGCTAATTAGTTTTATCTAATAAAACCAAACCTTTCCTAGTCCTAAAATTCCTCTCCACATTGTTATTTTTCTTGTGATGTTACTTTATTACTTTTACCCCGTTATGTTCAATGGTTTGGATATACATTACCAGCTCTACTTACATTTCAAGTATTGTTAGGTGGCAAATTCTTCTATAAATAGCAAAACAAGTCTATCAACTCTTCACCAAAAAAAATCAAGAAAATAGAACAAGTTGGAAAAATATGAAAAAACCAATTTTAGGACATGTTGTTGCTTTCTTGATCCTTATTTCCATGGTATTTAGTAACATATTAGTTGTTGAAGCTCAAAGCCACAATGGTCATATGAAGGCAATTTTAACAATTAATGATTTTTCAAAAGGTGGTGATGGAGGTGGACCATCAGAATGTAGTGGTAAATATTACCATAATTCAATTCCAATAGTGGCTTTATCAACTAGATGGTACAATAAAGGAAAAAGATGTTTTGATAAAATTACAATTTATGCAAATGGAAAGACTACAAAAGCTATGGTTGTTGATGAATGTGACACAAGTAGAGGCTGTAAAAATAACATTGTTGATGCTTCTGAAGCTGTGTGGAAAAAACTAGGTGTTCCAAAAAAGGATTGGGGTTGGCTCGAAGTTCAGTGGTCTGACTAATTCAGTTTCATGGTACATTATAAGGATTTATATATACAGTCTTCATCCTTGGCTTTCATTTCGATACAACAATAATAACATATTCAGTAGTATCATTGTCTGAATCATGCTATCATAATAATAAAAACTATTACCTATCGTTATCTTTTAAATAACATGATAGTGTAAGGTATAAATACAATAATAGTACTTGCTATTTTTCTTGCTTCTCTGAGATTTGTGTATATGCACAGCTGTTTAAAATGATGGAAGTGTTTGTCTTTACTAGCAATCTTTTTACCAAATGTTGAGAAAAAAAACTTGAGTTTAATACTTGGAAATAGAAATATTCAGTATATTGAAATTGTACAAGTAGCAAACATAGTACTAGGTAAAACAAGAAGAAAATTACATCAAACATAGAATTTATTTGCTATGATATGTTTCATTATTTCTAGCACAAAATGCAGAAACAGCGCGGAGTCCAGACTCCAGTGCTTAAGCAACCCCCAAGAGTTTCTTGATATCCTTCTGCAGAAATACAAAGAGAGTGTTTGGTCTTGTTAACTATATTGTCAGTTGAACAGTGATAGAGTAAGGAAAATTATCATAGGCCAGGACACCGGATTCTTACCTCCATGCTAGCTGGAGTAGTTGTTGGAGAGTAGCGATCAACGACGTGTCCTTCTTTGTCAATGAGGAATTTGGAGAAGTTCCACTTGATACCATCTCCAAAGAACCCACCTTTGCTTGATTTCAGAAACTTATACAATGGAGCAGCATTATCGCCATTCACGTCAACCTAGACCAGACATAAAAAACACGAAGATGTTAGTACATACTGCTTGCTTCATCTATTTTCAGTTTCAGCTCTAATGTAGATGACTAGAAGAGAAGAATGTTTGTGCTATTGCTACCTTATCAAATATGGGGTACTCGGCCTTGAAGCGAGTGCAGACCATTTGCTGGATATCTTCAATGCTTCCAGGCTCCTGTCCACCAAACTGGTTGCAAGGGAAGGCCAGAATCTCCAAACCTGTGTAACAGGGAGGACATATTATTAACAAACTAAATTAGGTATAAACAACCATAGTATTTAAGTTCTCTTTGCAGAATTATGTCAGGATAAGCGCCTCCATTGCTGAGGAATTGATAGCACAGATTTGAGTTTAGGAGAATTGAACAAACCTTGATCCTTGTATTTCTTGTATAACTCAGTCATGTCGGTGTAGTTTGAATTAGTCAGGCCACTGCATCAGAAAATGGAATCAGTTAACACTCATAAGCAAATGTTAAACAAGATCACAATGATATCATAAATACAACAAATATCTGTTCAGACCTTTCAGAGTAAATGCAATGAGATCAAATTACAAAGAAATGAACAAGACATTTTATCTGGATATGCACAATCACTTGTCATTAGTGGTACTAAGAACACGTTGGTTGAGTCGGTGTCCTTGGACCAAGCATAGCAAGAATGTTCACTCAGGGCTCGAGTAGAATAATGTCATATTCAATTTCTCGTAGATAAAGTTTTTTTATAAAATGCATAGTATTTTCATCACGGGGAGGAACGCCCTATCCAATGTAAGATAAGGTTCAAGTTTAACACTTCTTTACTTTCAGTCAATTCTATGGAGAGCAACACATGAAAACTTCACTAATTACAAGGAGCAAAAACAAACGATCATTTCTCTCATCAAAAGTTCCCACTGAAATCCGGAATATTGTGAAAGAGGCTTCGAACATATAATGAATAAAATAACTCTGAAACTAATACATACCACTGTGATGCAACATTGACAATGATAAGGACTTTTCCCTTGTAAATACTGAGATCAACGTCCTTGCCCTTAGCATCCTGTAAAGAACAAAAAGAACTTCAATTATCCAAGATTTTATTCAGGTTTGAGCTCAAACTGTATAGTCCCAAAAAAAAGAACTACTCTCAACCAATACTGTATTAACAATATCAAAACAGACCTAAAACCAAACTTTTTGACTATAAAGAAACAAAAACAAACCCGAAGTTTAGCTAATAAATGCAGCAACAAGCCTTAGTTTGCTGCTAGCACCAAGTTGATACCATATATCACAAGTCACACCCTCTGCTTATCTTCTTTCTTTTCCCCTTTCTGATTAGTCAAAATCATTTGCACTAATAGCACTTAGATGGTTGGAAAGTGTATTCAACACAATATGCTTGTGTACATCAACCACATTCATTTAACAAGTTAAACCTAAACCCAGCTACCTACACAGCAGAGGCATCTCTCTTTACACCCAAAAGATAAATTGAATAAAAAAGACTGATATTTTACACTGTTTGCTAATCTTGTCAATTCAAATTTATACAAACCAATAAAGCAAGGGCTAATAAGTTGAAAACAACTCCTTGGAACTTAAAGCCCCAAATCTCTAATTGCAAACAACAAAAGGCAAGCCAATGCAATAAGCTCCAGCTCGGGGAAGGGCCGGACCACAAGGGTCTATTGTAGGCAGCCTTACTGTGCATTTTCACAAAAGGCTGTTTCTAAGGCTCAAACCCATGAGTCATGACAATAACCAAGAAACTAAACAAAAGCATAAATAAATGAGCCACCTTTATCACAAAAGACAACAAAAATGAATGATTTTTCACATTCTTTGCTTATGTTAGTGATTCATAACCAATATAAAACCAACTTCCAATCACCCACTAAACCAAAAATTGATAAAAAAAACCACACCACATAACTCAATTTCCTAATCCAAACACTAACAAAACAAACAAAAACAACATTCTTTCTAAACCAATCAGTCAAAATAAGCAAAATTGAACAATTTAGAAAAACCCCAAATCAAAATAAACAAAAGTTCTAACCTTGACAGTGAAATCATAAACAGATTGAGGATTGCTGGATTGACTAGCCATGGTATGATCTGATCTTAAACCCCACAACTCAAACCCCTTAGAGGTAACAAAAGAACTGGGAAAAACTGTTCGGATTGGCCTTGAGAAAGACGAAACAGGAAGATTAAACACAGAATTGAACTGGGTTTCTCTTACAATCGAAGAAAATCGCCTTAAAATACTGAGATTTTGCTTTGGGATGAGAAGAACACGAGCTGTAGAACAAAGCATTTATAGCTGAATTATTTGGAAAGGTCAATAATAACATCGTGTGTGTTTTGTATTTAGATATGGAGGACACGCTTTTACACGTGGCATGAAAAGAAAGAGACACGTGGCATGATATAAGGCAAACACGTTGTGAACTTTCATATGATAACTTTTTAAAAAGAAATATAAGTATTATTTTTTATTATTTTTACATATGTCGTCTAGATGAATTTTTGTTATAATTATATGTCTTTTTGATTCCATTCTATTTCTTTTTTCTTTTGGATTTTGAAGGTGAGTCGCTGATTTTAACATCATTTATAATCTGATGGTATTTTTTAGACAATTAAAAGCAAATATTGCCTCTTATGCTTTTATATATTAAGCGTTAAATATTCTTAACGAAATTTTTTATTTGACAGCAACAATTTTTTTTATTTAATTTGTCTAGACTAGATTGTTTGATTTATTTATTTATTTTAGTCACGTAAGCAATGATGTGAAAGTATATGCTATGAACAAATGTATATGATTATGAAACTATATTATAAAAGCTGTGCATGTAGGTCCAATTGTCTTCATCTATTTTTTTTAGTCAAAGTTGTGCTCTGTTTGTTACTTATAATCTTCTGGAAAATTATAGAAGATTCCAACAAAAGAACATTTAAGGCACTAAAGATAAAAGTCTTATTTTTCCACTTGTTCAGACTATATGGATAGAGTTATATATTTATATTGTCAAAATTCATTTCATTTCAACAATTGAGACATAGATAGATTATTAGAAAATTCGAATTGAATTAGGATATTTGATTTTATAAATAATAACTACTCGTGTTTAGGTTGAATTATTGAAACTGATAATAAATAGTTGATGCGTTTGATAATAAAATATTCTAATAGTTAACATGACTAAGTTGTCCATAAAAATTATTTACAAAACTTACATAGTAAAAGTCTCTATATAAAGAGATTAAGGATGAGCAGAATTAACTAATAGTTGAGCCTTCTCCGAACAACAGGAGATAGCTATAGTTGTCCATCATACAACGCACCAACTTAACTTGTTTGGAAGGCTCGCTCTGAGTAAGTTCAAATCACTTACAATACACAAACTCTATGAAGGAGCGTTTTCACTATCATATCAAGAAACGTAGAAAGTGGTGACCATGTAAAATGAACTATAGTACAATTCCACTTTGAGAAACTTAAAATTTCTTCTCACTTTTTTTTTCCTAATACAAAAAGTATGATACATATAACAAGTCATAATTCCAATTTGTTCAATCTTTGAAACAAATTGTTTATAGTTATTGAAAATGCATCTTGAAATTTCTCCAACTTAGATTTTGGATCTCCATATACTAATCCAGGTAACAACTCATATACTATGTAACTTCTCATGTTCTCTCTTTCTTTTGTTGGAATTTGCATAAGCCTCTCCACAACATTGACTTTCATTTTCCTCACATCTTCTTGATCTATGAAAACTGAGTACTTTTTATGATCTTGTGGTAAATGCCATGAATATTGATAGTATGCTGTAAAGGGATCAAAGATTACAGGTATACAACCTGATATCAACGAATCGAAAACTGATTTTCTTGTTGGACTGTCCCCTGGAGGCTGCAAACAGAATTCAGATTCCATGAAGAGTTCTATTATTGACTCAGGCTGATTGCAGCTACTTGAATTGCAGTTCAAGAATCTACATTCTTGATCTTTGGTTGATGTGCATTGGCTGATCAAGATTGACCTTATGTTTTCTGGTGCATCAGGCCTTGCTGCACCAGCAAAGGACACTAGGCTTTTTCGATTTGACCTGATGATTCTGTCCTGCCACGCGATTATGTCATTGTCTGATTGTGGATGGAAATAAGTAGGATGTGGTATTCCTATGTCGTTAACTTGCCATGGTTGTCGTTCAATCAAGAGTTTAACCGGATTCTGCATTTCGTCTAGCTCCAAGAACCTACTCCCCCATATGGTGTCACTATATCTTCTGAAGTCCCAAGAAATTTTACCTAAAACAAAGACATGATCATTACCTGATTTTTGAAACCAATGTTTCTGTGACTCTAACCATCTTACAAGTTCTACTCCCAACGAGTCCTTGACATCGTTGGATACATTCTTGAAATGCCATCTTAAGACATCAAGTCCACCATAAAATGGCACATAAAACAGTTTTGCTTCATCTGCATTGTGAACTCTGCAAGGATGATTCAGTACGCGAGAATGAAATATCAGCTCTAGTGAATACTGATGTGTCTGGTACCATCCTGTGCCAAGATTCTGTATTGGTTCGCCCATTGCATCGTTGCTGAAGTACTTGCAGAGGTTGACCCAAGGATTTATATCTGCACATTGAGCTACCAAGTCTTTGTTGAACTTTGTTGGTAAATCATACACATAGATTCCCCTGCCATCACACGTTGCATTAGTATTGCTCGTTGCTGCCCATGAACGATGAACCTGCAATTGATCCTCCACGTCATTATAAGCGATCACTAGTTCCTCATCACCACTTTTAACCATGTTGTTTCTGAAAGAAACACTTTTGTTTCCTGCAAATGAATCAACAGATGTTGTACTTTCTTGTTTTGCACTAGGAATGGATGTGGAACTATCATTCACACGCGGAATAGCTATGTCAAGAGGACTAGATTTTTGTAGTGAAACATCAACAACATTTGACACAGTATCAATTGATGTGAAACTATCATTGACACGTGGACTTGGGATGTCAAGAGGACTAGAAACATCAACAACAGTTGAGGTGGAACTATCATTGACACGCGGAGTTGGGATGTCAAGAGGACTATAATTTTGTACTGAACCATCAACCACATTTGACATAGTATCAATTGATGTGGAACTATCATTGAAACGCAAAATTGGGATTTCAAGAGGACTAGATTCTTGTAGTGAAACATCAACAACATTTGACATAGTCTCAATTGATGTGAAACTATCATTGACATGCGGACTTGGGATGTCAATAGGACTAGAAACATCAACAACATTTGAGGTGGAACTATCATTGACACGAGGAGTTGGGATGTCAAGAGGACTATACTTTTGTACTGAACCATCAACCACATTTGACATAGTATCAATTGATGTGGAACTATCATTGAAACGCAAAATTGGGATTTCAAGAGGACTAGATTCTTGTAGTGAAACATCAACAACATTTGACATAGTCTCAATTGATGTGAAACTATCATTGACATGCGGACTTGGGATGTCAATAGGACTAGAAACATCAACAACATTTGAGGTGGAACTATCATTGACACGAGGAGTTGGGATGTCAAGAGGACTATACTTTTGTACTGAACCATCAACCACATTTGACATAGTATCAATTGATGTGGAACTATCATTGAAACGCAAAATTGGGATTTCAAGAGGACTAGATTTTTGTACTGAAACATCAACAACATTTGACATGGTATCATTTGATGTGAAACTTTCATCGACTATTGCTGTTCCAGTGTCTTGAAGAGTATATTCTCTTGACGCGATGTCCTTCTGATCAACAAAAACAGAAGGAGAAGTACCATTTAGAGAAGAAATCGCGGTATCAAGATGTGGTTCAGTGCCAGCAGAAATGCAATAAAGATCATTGAGTTTACGCGATGAGATGCAAATATGTACTACTTTACCAGAAATAATAGTAGTAGAAGAAGACCATATGAAGATAAGAATCAAGACAAGAACTATAGATGGAATTCTAAACAAAAATTTAGCTAAAAAAGAAGAAAAAAAGAAACTTTCTTCTTTATGTTCAACTTTTTTGTTAATCTTAGCTTTTTTCTTTGAAACAGAAATTGCCATTTTGATGGCTAACAATATAATTTTCTTGATCTTGATCTTCTTTTCTACTATGGTGGATATTTTTTGTTGTGCCATAACATGGTAGCACGTACTAAGATGAAAAAAAAATGTCATAATATTTGCAGGCACGTTTATATGTTACATTGTACTTGCATGTATTAGAAGGAATTAACAAATAAAAAGTCAATGTATCCATTTTTATATATTGTTCATATTATTTAACTAGTGGTTAGAGAATTTTGCTTACCAAACTCTGAACATAGTATCCATGAAATCTGTTCTTGACGTGCTGATTCATTAAAAAATAGGTGATAGGAATAGAGTTTGTTATACATAAAGACGTAGACATGGCATGGCGATTTATTAATTGTCCTCGGAAAAAAAAAGAGTGATAGGTCAAAATCACTTTTTTTCAGTGACATATCTAACCAAATTGAATAGGATTTGAAGAGTTGTCATGATTATATACATAAATTTCGATGAGCTATTGAAGTTGTCAATGTGATTGATCAGACAAATGATGCACTGACTCGGCCTATGATAACTTTGAGTTCACCTACAGGATTCCAGACTTAAATTGTGTGTTTAGGTGAGCATGTTCTAATGGGTAAATTATGGTATATTTTGTAAAGTGATGATTGTTCATGAATTGACTAGTTTTACGATTCTTCCAAATATCCCCACACAAGTTGTTAGCAATAAGTAAGACAAATACAACATTTCCCCAAAAAGGATATTGATTAGGCATGTGTATTGATTACGACATAGTATAAAAAAATTATATAAATACTCTAACAAGTCGCACCAGTGGTCTAGTGGTAGAATAGTACCCTGCCACGGTACAGACCCGGGTTCGATTCCCGGCTGGTGCATTTGAGAGCAATGACGTTTACTTGCACAAATTGTGAACGATTGGGTTGTCACATACATCTGATTTATAAGATGAGATCATGTGTATCTGAGCTCTCTTTTTTCTTTTGCCCTCTACGTGATGGGTCAATGATGGTAAAACATGATCATTGAGGATTCATACAATCGACTTCAACTTGTTTGGTATAAATTTGCAAACTCTAACTTAGTCCTTTAAATCCTTGATCTGTCTTGTAACCAACTTCTCTAGTGCCACAATGGGAGTTTCCACCATGATTTCCCCTATTTTCTGTTAACAGTGTGAAACACAAACACAAAAGTACATTCATATAGTGACCCAAAAACAGCTACATCAATTCTCCCATCACACATTTGTTGTTCATAATCATGATCATATACATAATTAGTAGCGGTTACTATATAGAGTTGCATAATATTCAGAGTCAATAGACTACAATGAACATGAAACTTGATTGAAAGTCAGCTCTTGGATACAAACATGACACTAATTAAGGAGAAAAATAAACACAACTGGTGTATGCTAAGTAACACTGTTCCAGGTCCTGAATTTCAACAATTTCTACCACTTGTACAAACCGACGAATAAAATTTAATGATCCGTGGATCAAGCCAAGTTGATGCCACCTGATTGTGACCGTGACTCATAGAAGAGTCTTACAGTTGAGTAGATGAGAGAAGGTTCAGCCATAGCGCCATTTCCATAATCTCCACAAGCTAGTCTTTTTGAAACTGGTGGTATGAGAGAGATTCCAAGCTCATCAATTACCATAAGGTGTCGTTCTGTGAATGGATTATTCCACATCAATGTATTCATGGCTGGTGCCACAAAAAGGGGTTTATTGTAGTCCCATGCTCGTACGATGCAGGTTAACAAGTTATCACATAGTCCACCTGCAATCTACAGTACATAAGACATATATCAGCTTAATTGCAAAGTAGATCGCAATATAAGTAATACTACAAATTCTTTTTTATGATGTAGGGAATTGAATTGGTGTCTTTCTTGACGTTAACCTTCTAGCATGGACATGTTCAATTAGTATGTTTAACATTGTTGATAGTCCATTTTATAAAGATCAATTAGTACTAGGATAAGGGAATAAATTGTGTTTTTGAGGCAGAATGAGTGTTATCATAAAACAAAATTTCAGGAATAAAACATGGAATGATACATCACCTTCCCAAGTGTGTTTGCTGACAAAGGGGCAATAACCATAATATCAGCCCACCTGCGGAGCTCAATGTGTAGCACACTATCACCAATTTTCTTCCAAGTGGACCATTCCTCCTCATCAGTATATAGAATGGCATCTTCCGGAAGTGAAGCTTTGTCTATGAAATGAAGAGAAGGTTTTGTTGCAACTGCTTTAACTTCTGCCCATTCAGAAAAACAACGACATAGATTTGCAAACTTAATTGCAGCCACACTTCCACTTGCTGCCAGCAGAATACGAGGTCTCCTAGGTGCACCATTAATCTGAACTGGTTCCATCTCTGAAGTCATAGGATCCGTATCTACCTAACCTGTGAAACATAAAAAAGGATTCGTTAACTGCACTAAGAGAAAGAAGTAATTGTACATGCGTGCAACTAAGGGGAATGACAACAGTAAATAATTAAGAGATCTCCCCTCGGTAACTTGCTTCACAATCATAACGCTTTGGACTTAGCTCACCCTAGGTGTGGTCAAATCAATGCTTATCTGAATTTTTCAAACCCATTTTAGCCCTCATCTTCACGGACATCAAAAACAGTTGACCACCAGCTGATTAGCTGATGTAGATTCACGGATTTGAACTTTGACTTGCTTACAGGCATGTTTACCTGAACTGGTTAACTGGTCCTTAATTCGGTTAAATTGGTTTGCTGGTCTTTCATTCTGCTGAACTAGCATTCAGCTCGAGTAAACTGACCTCAACTCGGTTATTCTTTTTTTTTGCCTAGGGTCAAATCAGCTAATCATTTTTTACTCGACGTCCCAACTGATATGCATCTATTCCTGTTCTTGTAGAGGACTAGTTGTTGACAGAGTCATTGACTGTAACAACCTTCTTTAGATTTGATGAAACTTTGTAGCTCTCCTTCCATCATGGTAATTCTAGATTTCTCATATTTGAAGGTGAGTTTCAACTTGTCTTGAGGCTCATGGATTGGATCCAAGTATCACCATCAGTTTCGTTTTCAAGTGTTATGGGCTTGGAAAATAAATCAATTTCTTTAACAGCTATTTAGGATGCATTACCTCTTTCCAACTTAAATCAATTCAATATTGAATATGAACCGTCAATAGGAATACCAAAAATTCCACCTTTATCAACAATTCACTATTCATCCTATTTTCTCTAACAAAAACCCTAATTTATCAACACCCATTTTAGGAGCTAGTGCAAAATTCAAATCAAATGGTGACAACCACTTCATAATACATCCCACATACATATTCCATAATTATATTCGAGAGTGAAGTAGATAAATTACCTAATTGATATCAAACCCCAACTTGAGTTCTTGAAGAATTTTCGAAATTCTTGAATGAAAACTAACACTTTTTTAACAAATTAGGAACGTTGTATTTCTCTCCTTCCTGAAAATTCTTGTATGCTTTATGAACTTACCTCTTTGTGATGCCACTACAGATAGCAAGGAAACAGAGAGCACCTGGAGGGATGAGGGGTTGCTTCACGTTCTGGCAAGGACTTACAAATAGAAGTAGTAGTTTTTCCCCTTTTCTTTTCTTCACTTAGTAATTTAGTAGTTCTATAGGAAAAGAATAATAAAAGTGGTCCATCCACCCCAATTAATAATTAAAGACTACAACAACAACAACAACAACAACCCAGTAAAATCCCACTAGGTGGGGTCTGGGGAGGGTAGAGTGTACGCAGACCTTGCCACTACCTCGTGCGAGGTAGAGAGGCTGTTTCCGGAAGACCCTCAGCTCAGGTACATCAAATCCAAGTAAAAGGCGAGAAAGACAGTGTATATACATACCATCCAATACGAAAGATAATATACAATCAACAAAGGAAGACAATGACATCTATACACAATGAGAGAAATGAAACACAATAAACAACAAAAGGCTATCGATCTCACAGAAAAGAACTGCAAGTGCAAGACTAGGACTACTACACACGCTACAACCCCTACCCTTGCAAGAAGAGACAACACGCTAGCCCTACTAACCTTCAACCTTAATACGAGACCTCCACTCCTTCCTATCTAGAGTCATGTCTTCGGTAATGTGAAGCTGAGCCAAGTCCTGTCTAATCACCTCTCCCCAATACTTCTTAGGCCTACCTCTACCCCTCCGCGTACCCTCTACAACCAGCCCCTCACACCTCCTCACTGGGGCGTCTGCGCCCCGTCTCTTCACATGACCAAACCATCTCAGTCTCGTTTCCCTCAACTTGTCCACCACAGAGGCCACTCCCACCTTCTCCCGGATAACTTCATTCTTAATCCTATCACTCCTAGTATGTCCACACATCCATCTCAACATCCTCATCTCCGCAACCTGCATTTTCTGAACATGAGAGTTCTTGACTGGCCAACACTCCGCTCCATACAACAAGGCCGGTCTAACTACCACTCTGTAGAACTTACCTTTAAGTCTAGGTGGAATTTTCTTATCACACAAGACTCCAGAGGCAAGCCTCCATTTCATCCACGCAACCCCAATGCGATGTGTGACATCATCATCGATGTCACCACTTCCTTGTATTACAGACCCAAGATACTTAAAACTTTCTTTCTTGGGGATGCTCTGTGTGGCAAGTCTCACTTCTACATCTGCCTCATCCAACGCATCACTGAATTTGCACCCCAAATATTCTGTTTTGGTCCTACTCAACCTAAACCCTTTGGACTCAAGCGTTTGTCTCCACACCTCCAACCTCGCATTAACTCTGTCCCGCGTCTCATCAATCAGTACTATGTCATCCGCAAATAACATACACCATGGGACCTCCTCTTGAATAGACCGCGTCAACTCATCCATCACCAAAGCAAATAGAAAAGGGCTAAGGACTGATCCTTGGTGCAACCCCATCTCAACTGGGAAATGCTCCGAGTCACCTCCAACCGTTCTAACCCGAGTCTTGGCTCCACCGTACATGTCCTTTATCGCCCTAATATAAATCATCGGGACACCTTTAGCCTCCAAGCACCTCCAGAGGACATTCCTTGGCACCTTGTCATATGCCTTTTCAAGGTCAATAAACACCATATGAAGGTCTCTCTTCCTTTCTCTATATTTTTCTACCAGTCTTCGCATAAGGTGAATGGCTTCGGTCGTCGACCGTCCAGGCATGAATCCAAACTGGTTCTCAGAAATGGACACCCCTCTTCTCACCCTCATCTCCACTACTCTTTCCCAAATCTTCATAGTATGGCTTAGCAACTTGATACCCCTGTAGTTGTTACAGTTCTGGATATCGCCCTTGTTTTTATACAACGGAACCATTGTACTCCACCTCCATTCATCAGGCATCTTTGCTGTCTTAAAAATAACATTAAACAACCCAGTCAACCACTCTATACCTGCCTTGTCCGTGCTCTTCCAAAAATCCACCGGAATCTCATCGGGTCCGGTCGCTCTTCCCCTGCTCATCCTACTAATAGCACGTATAACCTCCTCGCTCCTAAAACACCTGCAGTACCCAAAGTCCCGAAGTCTTTCTGAGTGTGCCAAATCACCCAACACAATGTCTCCGCCCCCTTCTTCATTTAGAAGTTGGTGAAAGTATCTTCGCCATCTCTGCTTAATGGAGGTCTCATCCACCAATACTTTGCCTTCCTCATCCTTGATACACTTTACTTGGTCCAAGTCGCGCGCCTTCCTCTCTCTCGCTTTTGCGAGCCTATACAATTTCTTATCCCCACCTTTGTCCCCCAGCTCGA